TATATATATATATATATTAGTATTAGTATTATATTTAATTTATTGGAATAAAAATACTACAAATAATATAATTACGTTTATTATTATTATTATTATACAATGAGGTTACAAAAAAAAAAAATAGAATAAAAAAATTGAATTGGTGATTTCCAATCACCAATTCAATTCCTCAGCGTCCGCTACCGCCAGTAGCATTTGGTTGAGGGTCACGTCGCAACCATCGTCAGACCAAAGGGAACTGGTAGACCCGGCTAAGGGAGAAAGAGAGTATTAATGTTTGTGATCATCGTGAATGACGGTATGCTTACTGGAAGTTGCTGGCGGCGGCGGTGACGGCGTCCCAGCGATAACATCGACACTGGAGGGTGACGATCTGGGTGTGGATGACGTCTCAGGGACAACGGTGACCCAAAACTCATCTAAACCAAGAAAGGGGTGGTATTATTGTGTGGGAACCCGGTGCGGGGGGACAAAACGCTTACCGGTAGTTGATCGGTCTGAACTAGGTGATGACGGTGGAGGCGGCGGCGGCGGCGGCGGTGTCCCGGGTGACGGTTGCGTCAGCACCGCCCAAGACGGGACTGGTGACCAAGTCCCGGGCGCAAACTCAATGGATTCGTTAGATTCCATTGCAAATAAATCTGGGGACTAAAAAAAAAAAAAAATCACCACTAACGAAAAAACAGAATTAAATATAATTTAATGAAGAACTGGTACGTACCAAGTTAAAATTGGACATTGTTGGATGTACGATTGGCAAATGATCACGATAAACATCGAACAAAAATGCTGATGAACACTATTTAATGAAAATGATAATCGAACACGTCATACGGCGGGGTGAATGATTTATTGAAATGATAAGCGATCACACCAGACGCGGGGTGATTATATAGGGTCAAATTATTATAGATATGCATACCAGTAGTGTAGTATGTGGTAATTCAAAAAAAAAAAAAAAAAGCAGACAGAATTATGTAATGCACCAATGTGCTTTTCTTGCAAACTAATAGGCTACAAGTTCATCCGGATAAAAAAAATGCTGCAACGCTTGTCCGGCGAATACGCTATAAATACCGGCGCTAACGATATATATTGTATTTCAATAACCGGAAAGTTCATTTTAACACGCACGTTTTCAAACCTATCACACAGCGAAAATGGATCTGTCTTGTCCTGTATGTAAGTACACGTTTGCTAACCGAAGCAATATTCTACGACATCAAAGACAGTTCAACCATTACTTAGGTATAAACGAATATGGAAATATGATTAAATAGATTAATATCACACTGACACATTATTTACAGTTGGACCGCATCAACCCGGATCAATTCATCAATCCCCCGACGAAGGTAAGGAAAAAAAATAGATTAGTAATAAGTATAGATACATGATTATAAGTTGTATATATATATATATATATACACACACACACACACACACACACACACATATACAATCAAATATAACATTGAGATCTGGGTAATTACAGTACACGTAGACTTGACCGTGGATGATGATGAATCCGACAATAGTATTAATAGGGAACCGAGTAAGTAAAAAAAAAAAAAAATCATAAATAGAACAATATTAATAAGAAAAGTGAAATACCATTACAGCGACCGCGCCTCAACACTCTGCTCATCGTCAAATCCATGTTGATGATGAAGGTAATTAAAAAAAGAAATATACTAGTATAGGATGATTCTATTTTTTTATTTAATTACAGTATGGATAGACTTGACTATGGAAGAAGAAAATATGGAAGCAGTCAATATTAGGAACATCGGGCAAACAGGTAAACAAATAAATAATAATAATTAAAGTTAACTAATCACAGAAAGTAAAAAAAAAAAATCATAAATAAATAGAACAATAATAATAAGAAAAGTGAAATATCATTACAGCGTCCACGTCTCAACACGCTGATCATTGTCAAATCCATGTTGATGATGATGATGGTAATTAAAAAAGAAATATACTAGTATAGGATGATTCTAATTTTTTATTTAATTACAGTATGGATAGACTTGACTGCAGAAGAAGAAAATAGTGATGCAGACAATTGGAGTAGCATCGGGGGAACAGGTAAACAAAAAAATGATTTAAGCTAACTAATATACATTCATTCAACTCGACTAACACGGTCGCAATATATATATATATATATATGTATCAGAAAGAGTACCGGTTGCAATGGATTCGGTCAATTACAGCAGTGTCTGCGTCGACCACAACTACAGCAGTGTCTGCGACAACCAAAATATCGGTAAAAAGATTATTAATAATAATAATATATAAAACAATAACAGGGTTATTCAATTTAGAATATATCGACGTTTGGCCTCCATCTCCGGCACATCGCAGTGAACCCGCTGCCGCCGCCGACACAGCGATAAGAATTGGAGGTGCCGTGGCAATGACCGGTATAAGCAATTACACTAATTAAAATAACGCGCGCGCGCGGATGAGTACTAATAAATGGAATCATATAGGTCAAATGGACGGTGTACCGAATAGAATCGCAACAACAACAACGGCTGCTACAGACGACCGCAATACCGATAATATGCAAAGACCGAACCGTAAGATTACAACCAACACAATTATTAATAATACGATTATACGTTTAGTGATATATGTATATATATATATATATTATATATATACATACATATATTATTCAACAATTAGTAGTAGTAGTAGTATAATCTAATTTTATTGGATTATGTACTTGGCTTCCCGACACACAGTATATTTTAAATGTATCATGATTGAGGCACTATTATTGACAATTATTAAATGATAAATTAATTTAAAATAAGTAGTAAAATGTTAATTTAGGTATGAATTAATATAAAATAAATTTGGTTACATGATATTTATGATAATGTTGGAATTTAAAATTATCATTGTGTAAATAATTTATAATTAAAGACAGGAAATAATTAATTTAAAATGAAATTATAATTGTTAAACTGTTAGTTAATTTAATAATTAATTCAAAAGAAATTACTATGACGATATACGTATGTATAGAAATGTAGTTAAAATGCTTTCGACGGCCGAATTTCAAACTTCAAAATCGATTGTCGAAATACGGCCGCCGACATTAACGAGTTCTTGGTCCGAGCGGAAGCTAAGGTGCTGAAGGTGTGGGAGAAACAGCTCGGTCGGTACGTAGCGCTGAAAGTGAGTCTGGGTTTGTACGCGGTGTACGAAAAACAGAAGCAGCCGGCTGCTGACGGTGGCGCCGACGTGTATGACACATGTGTGCACGACCACACGGCCGGTCCGGTCATACTGACACAGGGACAGGATCAGCACACAGTGTATACACAGCTTGCTGATGTTATTCGTACACGCGCCGATGAATTTGAACGTGGCGATTCGGGGTGGGCGTTTCGCGAGAACGTATACCTCGAAACGTCTACGTACAAGTATAATCCGCTCAGGGCATCGTGCACAATTACTCTGCCTACCTCGCTGTTGCGGAAGAGCGCCGTCCTGAACATCGCGAACACCGATGATGCATGTTTTTTTTGGGCGATCGTGGCGCACATCCACCCTGCACCGGCAGGTGTTGATCCCACGCGTACTACGAGCTATCCTCCCTACAACCGTGTACTCCAAACCCGCGGGATCTCGTTGCCGGTGGCGCTAAAGTGCATCCCGAAATTCGAAATCGACAACGAGATCAGCGTTAACGTGTACGCTTGGGAGGAGAACAAGATCGTAGGGCCGCTGTACTATACGACCGAAAAGCGGGTGCGCCACGTGAACCTGATGTACGTCACATCGGTTAACCGCACCGACGGTCATTATGTGTTGATAACAGACTTGTCACGCGCCGTGGGGAAACAATTGTCTAGACGTGGACACAGAGCGTTTCTGTGTGACGGTTGTCTCCTCACGTTTAGGAACCAAGCGGCGATGGATCAACACGAATGCCGGCGGTGTCGCGTTGTTCTCCCGTCGGACGATAAAAATATCGTCGAGTTCATCAATTGGAAAAACACCGTTCCCGTTCCATTCTGTATTTACGCAGACACCGAAGCTATCCTCAAACCGATCGCCCCACCCCCGACCGCCGGTGGGACGTACGACATCGCGGAGCACGTAGCGTGTAGTTTTGCTTACTTTGTCAAGTGCGATTTCGATTCGTCACTTGAGAAGTTTGAACTCTATCGGGGCGCGGATTGCATGTCGGTGTTTGTGGAACGGCTGGAACGGGACGTGAAGGCCATAGCTCGACGGTATTTTTCCCCGGTGGATATGACCCCCCTTACCCCCGCGCAGCAGGCAGTGCACGATGCGGCGACCGCGTGCTACGTCTGCCGCGAACCGTTGACGCCGGCCGACAAGGTGCTGGACCATTGTCACCTGAGCGGACGATACAGAGGCCCGGCTCACAGCGCGTTTAACTTAAAACTGCGAGTACCGAACTACGTACCGATCGTGCTCCACAATTTTTCGGGTTACGATAGCCATTTTCTCACCACCGCCCTCGCCGACGACACCAATCAAATCCAAGTCATCGCCAAGACCAAAGAAAAGTATATTTCGTTGTCTAAGTTTCTGCGGTTGGACGACGAAACCGGCGAGAGTCACACAATCGTCATGCGGTTCATCGATTCATACCGGTAAGACTGATAAAAACAAAGCAGTACTTTTGGTCTACAATAACGGTATTTCTGAACAGGTTTCTGCCCTCGTCGCTGGACGAAGCCGCGCGGTCGCTGACCGACGTTCAGCTGGTGAACACGAGAACCCGGTTTCCGGACGATGGACAGTTCCGGTTAATGAAAACGAAGGGGTATTTCCCCTACGAATACGTAACGAGCGCAGAGGTGCTTGAGGAAACGTCGTTACCTCCACTCGACGCCTTCCGGAGTCAGTTGACGTTGTCCACCATCACAGCCGAACAATACCACCACGCGCAGACCGTGTGGTCAACGTTTAACTTTCAAACACTAGGCCAGTATAGTGACGTATACATGTTCGGCGACGTGTACTTACTGGCCGACGTGTTTGAAACGTTCCGGAAGTTTATCCTCGAGCACTACAGACTCGATCCAGCTGCGTATCTGACGACCCCTTCGTTAGCCTGGGATGCGATGAAGCTAATGACAGGGGTCAAAATAGAGCTCATGACGGAGCACGATCAGGTGCAATACGTCATGAAAAACATCCGTGGGGGGTTGGTCCAATGCAATCAACATTATGCAAAGGCCAACAATAAGTATATGGAGGACTATGACCCGACGGAAGAGCCATCGTACATCATGCAGTTAGACGAAAATAACCTTTACGGGTGTGCGATGAGCCTCCCCCTTCCGATTGGTGAGTTCCATTTCTTAACCCCCGCGGAGCTCACCACTTTTGACCCCCTCACCGTTTCGGACGATGCGGAATTCGGCTATTTTGTGGAGGTAGACCTCGAATATCCGCACGCCGTCCACGACCGCCTAGCAGATTTACCGTTCTTTCCGGAGAACATGGTTCCACCCGGAGGCAAACAGCCAAAGCTCATAGCCAACCTGATCAATAAAGAGAAGTAAGAACAACGGGGAAAATGTGTGTGCGTTGGCAACGGGAATATTTATCGACTTTTTTTTTTTTTTTTTGTTTCAGATACGTCACTCATTACAGGTGCTTACAGCAAGGCGTTGCCAACGGGGTGGTTCTCCGGAGAATCCATAGCGCACTTCGGTTTCGGCAGCGTGCTTGGATCCGTCCGTTCATCGAAACGAACACGAGATTGCGCGCTGCGACCAGGACGAAGTTCGAGGGCAACTTGCCAAAACTGATGTCGAACTCGGTTTACGGCAAGGCGCTCGAGCACCCTGAAAAACGAACCAAAGTGCACATTGTCACGCGCTGGAGAAACGTCAAGCAGAGACTAGGAGCCGGTGTTTTGATAGCTAAACCCACGTTCGACAGCGTGGCGATCTTTACCCCGTCCATGGCGGCCGTGCAGATGACCAAATCGGTTATCAAGTACGACCGGCCGTCATACGCGGGTTTCGCCGTGCTGGAGCTGTCAAAATACATTCTATACGACTTCCATTACGGGTACATGGTATCCAAATAAGGCTCTAAAGCTCGTGTCATCTATGGAGACACGGACAGTCTGTTTTATTGGGTTGAAACCGACGATTTTTATGCTGACATGAAGGCTGATATCGACAAGTATGTACGGACCGCTTTGCCGGTCATTCACACAAACCAATGGGTTTACTTTTTTTTTTTTTATCCAGGTACGATACCAGCAACTTCAGTCCGGACAACCCATACGGAATGCCTTTGGTCAACAAAATGCTTTTATGGAAGATGAAGGACGAAGCTGGTGGTAACATCGTCCTATTATTCATCGGCCTTCGGAGCAAGTCGTACTGCTCCGATTCGGTCGAACCGTCGATGAATAAAAAAAAGTTGAAAGGCATTCAACGCGCGGTCGTGGAAAAGACGATCACCCCCCAGGACTACTACGACTGTCTCGTTATCCCGAACCACAAGGTAATGAGACAGACGTGTACGTTTCGGTCGAAACGCCATAGACTGACCACCGAAATGTGCACGAAACTAGCGATGGAGTACAAAGACGACAAACGGTACCAAATACCCAATTCGTTTTTGACACTCCCCTGGGGTCATTATCGCATCCCAGACGATGAACCGGACAGTGACTAACCGGTGGCGGTGACGATGGATTTGTCTCTTTTTGTATTTTGTTTTTTATTGTTTTTGTTACCTCTTTTTATATTTTAGTTTTTTATTGTTTTTGCTATCCATGACTGAATTTTTATATATTTTATTTTTTATTGTTTTTTTGTTACCCATGACTTTTTTTTAAATTTTTTTATTGTTTTTTGCTACCCATGACTGTCTTTTTATATTTTATTTTTTTTATTGTTTTATTTTGTAAATAATGTATAATAACCATAATTAGCTCTTTTTTTTATTTATTTATTATTTTTATAATAATAATACAAATTAAACCAAGACTTTTTTTTTTTTTAAAAAAATAATTTCCCTTTACCGTTACTATTTGCTAGTACAAAATATGCATTGTTAAGTGTGTGCGTGTGTGTGTGTGTGTGTGTGTGTGTGTGTGTGTGTGTGTGTGTGTGTGTGTGTGTGTGTGTGTGCAGGAAAACATCAGGTTTGGGCATGCGTGCACAGTGCCGCGGAATAAATTACAAACCGATGAAAGTATGAGTTATTTATTCAACGTATAGCCAGATGAATACTAATTTTCATATTCGTACAACAAATATATATATATATATATATATAATATATATATATATAATTACATAAAACATAATAGTATAATACTAATAATAAGTTTGGTACAATATTTGACGTTACCGTCCAATGTTTTCATCCATCCAAACGCGGAGGGCTAAACATTGCGCCTTCGCACAGGTTTTGTTTTGAGCGCGGTCCGAGTGAAATGGACATACGTGTTGTTGTTGTTGGAGCATCCGGCACTTGGGACATCCGTAAGCTTCCAGGTCGATGACCGTGCACTTCGGTAAATAACGTTGAAGGAGGTTCCGCTTTTGTATGCCTTTGACGTACACAGCAGTGTAGCGGTTGTTAACGGCTCCTAGGACGCGCGCCAGCTCCGAATACGGTATGTGACCGTCTGTATAGCGGATACCGTGAAAGTGTGTTTGCAACCAAACGTTTACTTTGGTGCTTTGCGGTGACAGTCGAAAGGTAGGCGGATGTTGAACCAACCAATGCATCACGTGTGTAGCTCTTTGTGCGTCCGCTATGCATATTTCTTTGATGACCATGTGAAGGTCCGAGTCGACCACACACTGTACGTCAATAACCGCTGAAAGCATATTGTCAAACTGAACTATCCGTTCGTTTGATCCAAGCATTATACTTGACGGGCAACCCGACGTATTTCACGAACTGCTTGTCCCCCTTCCTCCGGACAATTTTTTCTATTAAATACGTGGTGGGATAACGCGTCCGGTTCATCTCTTGCGCGTAGAACGTTCCGTTAACCGGCGCGCCGCTCTTATCGCGCACTGTATAAACTGTAGGCGTTGACCGTCGTACCCCGGACACGGTGAAAATTTCGTTTGACCAATTTTGCGCACAACCCTTATCAAATACCGTTTTATGTTTGCTCAAGCGTACGGCATCGCCCACGGCGAATTTAGGTTTGCCGCCTGCCGCCGCCGGTTTCGGCAACCGGTAGAAAACAACACTCCCGGGCTCGCGGGACGAGTCGGTCGGCGTCATTCGGATGGACGTGTGCACGGTTGTGTTGTAAGCGGCGACTAGATCATCAACGAGCGGCACCCATTCGTAGTTGCCGTGCGCTGTAAACGCTTTCCACATCTTTTCTTTAAGCGTTCTTTTCCAACGTTCGCAAACGCTCGCCTTCAGCGGCGTATACGATTGATAATGGTGTATATTATACTGCTCGTACACGCGTCGTGTGTCTTTATTGATAAATTCCAGACCACGATCCGTGTGCAGGTGACGACATCGTCTGCCGCTGGTCTTGATTATGTGTTCGAGGGCAGCGGCCACGGTCGGACCAGATTTATTTTTAACGGTACGGCCCAGCCGTACTTGGTGTACACGTCTATAACTGTCAGGAGGAACGTGTGATTTTTATTTTTTTTTACTTTGGAAAACTTTTTCATGTCTACGAGGTCGGCTTGCCATAAATCGTCTTTGCCGTCGGTGCGCACGACCCGTCTGGCAAACCGGCGGATAGCCGGTCTGTGTAGTTCGGTTGCGATGTGCTCGCGAACGGTCATCATCGTCAGCGGATCACACCTATTTCCCTGAGTTCCTCCTCGCACGCGATAATTTCGTTGTGCACGGCGGTATTTCCCGCGGCTTGCGCGGCTCTGAGCAAAGCGAGGCGGTCGACTATTTCGTTGGCGTCGTCCCAGTAAACATATTCTTTGTCCTTCCCTGTAACCGTCAACCGCGTAATCCCGTCACCCGTCTTGGCCGCGGCGCGAACTGCGGTCAGGTCGCGTCCGTTCTCGTTGAACAACTGTTTGATAATGTACTTATACTTGTATCCGCGGTTCGTTTTCGGTCTACCGGACGACAGCAAATGACATCCTGTGTGAATGAGAAAATTGCGATACGTGGTCAGATCGCTTTCGGTGATGAATTGCATGCGGGGTACCGAGCTGCACACCAATTCTTGGAGTCCTTTCGTGAAGGGTGTTTCGGTTAACGTGCCCACTTTTATGCGGTTCTTGGTGAACCGTACTGCTTTATCACCCATCACCCATGTTCCGTCTGGTTGTAGATGAATGCCGTACGACGGATTGCTTTCGGTAATACGGAATTCTTCTTCTGCTTTTTCTTCTTCTTCTTCTCCTTTAGACTCATCTCTCCGGGCGCCACGCGCTTGTGTCCGCTGCGCCGACAACTCTGCTGTTAATTTTGTCAACGGTTCAACGATCGGCGCCGCGTGGGTTCGCACGTATTCGGTTGACACGGACAATCCGCGCCGCAGCTCGTCTAGTTTGCGTTTTATGCTTTTCTTAGCACGTATAATTGCTTCCGTCGTAGCCGGCGATTCCATGGTTACATTTTACTGAACGGGTGCGTTGCCGTCGAGCCTTTTTATATACACGTCGAAACCCATTCGATAACGTCCGTCGTTTAGATCGAAGTCCTTGACAATTGTTAAAAACGAGTACCGGTCGGTGTTCCAACACTGCGAGCATATGGATTTAAAGTCAGCGAACGTCATATCGGATTGACAGTGTTCCTGGTAAACGTGCCGAACGTTAGTCTCGTCCTGTTTGTACAAAACAATCATCGACGCGTTGTCCCGGATCCCGTGCTTCGGCGCTTTGACATACGTTTGCGTCAGGTAAAAGCTATCGATCCCGTTGTGGCGTCCGCGGCAAAAGTATTCTGCGATGTTTCTTTGTTTTTCAAATGCGACATCGTCAAAAACAAACACCGAATTAGTCTGTACTTGTTCGGGTGGAGGCACATGATCCCCGTCGGTGTACACGCGCATTTGCGCGCCGTCAACTCCCTCCATCACCTTCTTTAACATTATATATTTTGGCTGATCAGGTGTCTTCGTGTACAGGTATACGTGTTCGAAGCGCAGCCCGTGTTCGTCTGTCAAAAGGTTTACCATCGCCGTCGTCTTGCCGACGTTACTGGGCCCCGCGATAATACATCTGATTGATGAGGGTAGGAGGGGACCGTGACGGCTGTGGTGGTCGTCAGCAGCGGCTGGGTCGTCGTCGAGCCGCAGAACGGTTAATTTGTGTTCTTGTGGTTCGAAAAACATTATAAAGGCGGTGTCGCAGACCATTGCCGTGTCCAAACGTAACCGGTGCGTCGTCGTCGAAGGTTGTCAGCGAACAAGATCGGTCGGGTTATCGTCACTGCGGTTATAAGCTCACTACTGTAATGCCTCGTGTCAACCGACGTAAACGGAAGGGACGGCGGTCTGCACCGAAAACCGGAGGCGGGCTGCGCTTCGGCAGTCTCGTAGCTGCCGCACGGGCAGCAATGCGCAAAGCGAAACCGTTAACGGTCACTGCGGCAGCGCGGAAGGCGTTATCTGCCGTCAACCAGGTACGTCGGAAAGCCAGAGGAAAACCGGTTCTCCGACCGCGCACGTTGGCCGTGCCGAAAATCGGCGGCGCGTTCGCGCTTGTGCCTTTTCTCTCAGCCCTGTCAGCGATCGGCTCACTGCTCGGCGGTGCGTCGGGAATCGTGCGTGCGGTTAACGACATCCGCAATAACAAAAACGCGAAAGCCCCGGTGAAAATCGGGAGTGGCTATTTGTTGCACCGCAAGCGAAACGGATCCGGATTCTACCTCAAACCGTATCAGCCAAAAAACTGATAACCACGCTGCCCAGATCGCGGGCGCTGAGCGACGTGGATATTATAAATTACGCGACAAAGTTGGGCATATCTCATTTCCGCGGTGTGTTTATGCGCGACACGTTACCGGCTACACCCTTGCGGTTTGAGTGCGGCGTCGTTAATCTTGACGTCTCTACCGGAAGTGGTACGCACTGGTGCTGTTACCACAAGCGCAACGATATCGTCTTGTTTTTCGATCCGTTCGGCAACCTCCCGCCGCCGCTAGAACTTCAGCGTTATTTCAGCGGTTGTATCGTCCACTATAACTACGACCGTGTGCAACGATTCGCAACATCCGTTTGCGGTCAGCTATGTCTCAAGTTTCTGTACGCACAATGTCGTCCGCACACCGCTCGGTCACGTTAACCTTTCAAGGTACCGCAAGCGAGCTGGTCAGCACGTTTTTTCCCCCTATCCCGTTGCGGACCGGCGCGGAGATCGCGTTGCTCGACGTCATAGTGTGCAATTCCCGGCCCAACGTCGACGCGTCTAACAACACTTTGCGCGTACGGCGGTTGCCAGGTGTTCAAAAACGCGGTGTCAACATCGATATGTACGATGACACTGTCGCCCCCGGTGCCGGTTCAATGCAGATCAAACCGGACGCTCCGTCGCCGTTACCAGCCGATGTCTATGACGACGTCGTGGTACCCATCGGGTCGTACGAGGTGTCCACCTTGGCTCGCGTGCTCAAGTCACTAGTCGAAAACCTAAATCCCGAATACCGGTTCGCGCTTCATCCCAACGTCAACACGTTTGAATCGGAACTCCTGTGCAATCGCGACATCAGCTTCGCGGCCCCCAACAGCGTCGGCCCCCTATTGGGGTTTGAGCGGGACGAGCTGCCGGCGAACACTTTGCACCGCTCCGGTCGTCTGATCACCATCGATCCGCTTACGTGTATAAGAATCACATGCAACGTCGCGGCAGGCGCATTCGTCAACGGCGTTCGTAGTCGCGCGATCTATGACTTTTTCCCATCCTTCCCGCCCGGGTTTCAGATCGCAGAATCACCGCGTAATCTGATTTATTATCCAATAGCGACGGATCGTCTCGACCGCGTGCGGGTCACGATTACCGATCAGAACTCGAAGCTGGTCGACTTCCGCGGTGAACCAATCACAGTACGTTTACACGTGCGCGATGGGGTTGGTGTTTAAAAGCGTCCGCGCGCGTCCGGTTCGGTACATTCAGCCGTCGGCACGATCCCGGTTAACACGGCAGAGCTTGCAAACGTTATCGGCGCTCGGCTACAAACTCGCGAATCAAACCACCGTCAATGGACATCACTCGGCGAGTCGAATTCGACGATCGCATCACTAAATACGAGTTTCACACTTATCAACCGTTCTCCAGCAACAGTCTAACGAACAACGATGAGATCCGCATCGCGATTCAACACCAGGACCTCTACACACTCCCTAGCGAATCACTGCTATGTCTGCAGGGATCCGTTGTTCCGAGGCTACTGACACATCCGACGTGACCATCGTCACCAACGGATTGATGTTTTTGTTCGACGAGATTCGCTATGAGCTGAATTCAGTCGAAATCGATCGGGTGAGACAACCAGGCGTTGCTAGCACGCTCAAGGGGTACGTAACGATGCAGAAGGCGGTACGCGAACGCTGGTTGGTCGGCGAACACAACAAAAAAGTTTGATGTCGTTATTCCGCTCAGGTTGATCTTGAGATTTTGTGAAGATCACAGAAAACTCATAATTAACGCGCGACAAGAACTCGTTTTGCACCGTGCGAGCACCGACAATGATGCTCTTCAAACGACCGCCGCAGCCGCAAGCGTTGTGTTGGATCACGTTACGTGGAGAGTGCCGCACGTCAATGTAAACGATTCTGTTAGATTGCAGTTGCTCAAAGCGTTGGACGTGAAAAAACCGTTATCCATCGCTTTCCGTAGCTGGGAGCTATTCTCTTATCCGTCGCTCCCCCGGTCGAACAAACATTCCTGGGCGGTTAAGACGAGCACGCACACGGAAAAGCCGCGATACGTGATAGGAGCCTTGCAGACCGATCGGAAAAATAAACTCGCGACGAACTCCAGTCAGTTCGACGGATGCGGGTTGACCACGTTGAAAGTATATCTCAACTCTGAATCGTATCCGTACGATACGTTAAAAATCGATTATGCCGGTGATAAATTTTCGTTTTTGTACAACGTGTATGCGAGTTTTCAAGAATCGTATTACGGCGTTCCGGTCGGAGACCCGTTGTTCACCGCACCAGAGTTTAAGTCGACATCCCCCATCGTCGTTGTAGATTGTTCGAAACAGAATGATTTTGTTAAGAACGCGCCGATTGACTTACGTATAGATTTTGAAACGGCTAGCAACGTGGCTGATAGCACCGCTGCTTATTGTTTAATCGTACACGATAAAATTTTTGAATATAACGCTTTGACTAGCGAAGTGCACAAAATTTTGTAATACCAATTGATATAACAATACCTGTTTTTTTTAATTTAATATACCTTTATGATTGTAAATGTTTTTTAAAAATAAATAATCATTGCATTAAAAAAAATTTTTTTTTTTTTTTCCCTTTCATTTCTTTGCTCTCAGTTATCATCCATTTTCTTTTAACCATTGATTGGACGGGTAACATACAAAATGAATACACAGTGTTTTTTTTTTAGGTATATTACACACACAGTCATTTATTTTTATCGTACGTCAAGATGATATAACAAACATACACACATATTATTAATCATATAAAACATACTTCGTTGTTCCATTTTTATTTTTTTTTTTATTTATATGCCCTCGAAGCACAGGGCCGTCCGCCCGCCGTTTAGTGCTGCTACTGCTAGCGTCGTCGTCATTGTCTTCTTCTTCTTCTTCTTCTTCTTCGTCGTCGTCGTCTTCGTCGTCGTAGTCAGTGTCGTCATCATCATCATCGGCACTACTACTACTACTTTCAGTCTCTTCTTCGACTGTGCTCTCCGTGTCGCTGACGGGTAGCTCCATCACACTCGACGTGGATGACGAACTGCACTCCTCCTCCTCCGAAGACATCGTTAGATCTGGTGATAATGTAAATGGACAATTTAGTTTTATACACACACACACACACACCAAGGTTGATGTACTTACCCACTACGTCGGTCAGCGAGAACACCCTCTCTATTCGCAGCTGTATACGCCTCACCGCTTCCGCTGCTGCAGCGTCTACCACCTGTTTCACATTTTTTTACTATACGCTTCTTATATATATAATTATTCCCTTAATATAAAATCGACTTACGCTCATCGGTATTATCACTGGCGACCCGTCGTCGTCGTCATCATCGTCGTCGACGTTCTGCACCCAATTGGTACTAAACGGTGTCGGCGAATTTGGCGGCGATGGTGGTGTATATCTGTAATGCATTTTGATTTGGTTGTATGCGTGTGAATGTGATTAAATGGTTCAGCGTGTTCGTTTATATATGGTGTGTGTGGTTATTTCGTCCCTCCATTTTCTTTGTGTTATCATTGTACGCGGTCTAACGGGAAATACCCTTATCAGGTTTCGACCGTCAGGTCATCCACACTATCGCACGGTGTTGGTGGTGGTGGTGAAGCAATGCTCACACCGTCTGACTTGATTACTGGTGTAGTACTCGTCTTCTCCTCCTCCTCCACCACGTCGTTCCTGTTATAATTACTATATACTACAATATAATCAATAGGTTTTTTTTTTTTTTTACTTACTTATCTGTGTAACCGTCAAGTAACTCTGCTAAATTCCATTGTGAGTTAGACGTCACCATCATCGTATTAACATTTTTTCCCCATATTTCGTCGCACAGCCGTTTGTACTCTATGACCGCGATTTCTTTGTAATAACTTGGTTCTCGCGGCGGTAATCCGTGTACAGGATGATTCATCATTGCGGTGTACACCTCATCGACCGACATTGTTGCGTATCGATTTATCACCTCCACCGTCATCGCATTCTTCATCGTACCGTATTGCTCCGTCAGGACTGTACATATTTTCGCGTTATCATCAAGTGCCCGTACGATTGATTCGCGATTCCACTCCAACGTTAACAAATTTTCTTCGGTCAGCGTAAGGCGGGTGTGCGCGTCGTTGATGATCAGGTATGACTTTGAAAAACATCTGGTTTTTTTAATGATAATGCCGTCCGGCGGTTGTACGTGGAACGCCGCGCGTTGATTGCTGCCCACGAACCGCGCGAGATCATTAATACCCGTTACCAGTCCGACGATTTGATTTAAGCTCAAGGTCATAAATCCATTGGAACACACAATCATCGCTGCCGGAGCATATCCCGTCTCCGTCCACGCGCATCCTATGTGTAAGAATTTTCTCTCCTTAAAACTTATCGTAATCGCTTTGACCGCCAAGAGTTTCGTTTTCGGTTCTTCACACGTCCGCTTACGTCTGCTGCTGCTGCTGCTGCTCATGCGTATACCTTTCCCCTTTCCGCCCATTGTCGCTGTGACAGTGCACTACTGTTTCCGTCGAGCGTTGATGCTATACTAGCGCGGTTCCGTCACCGTGTTCACTTAGTGCCGCCAGTGTGTGTGTGTGTGTGTGTGTGTGTGTGTGTGTGTGCGCGTGCGCGTGTGTGTGTGCGCGTGTGTGATACCAGTAGTGATACCAGCGGAACCGCGCTAGTATAGCGTCACCGCTCGACGGACACAGTAGTGAACTGACACATGCGTGATATCAGTGTGATAACAGGTTCGTGATAACAAGTTTGTGATAACAAGTTCGTGATAACAGGTTCGTGATAACAAGTTCGTGATAACAAGACTGTGATAACAAGACTGTGATAACAAGACTGTGATAACAAGACTGTGATAACAAGATTCGATACGGCCAAAACATACTACTTATATGTTTTTGGGCTAGGTTAGGTTAGGGATCATTCTGAAATGATTTCGTGTAATGGACATACAAATATTATAGACATAAAGAGCGAGATTATTTATTGGACAATAAATATGGGTACAGGGTTCTAGAACACGCATGTGTTCATTTTCGCCGCCACCATATAATGCGCATGGTAGGTTGGGCGATTGTAAATTCCACCGATTTGTAGGTAGTTGATTTTCGGGTTGATTTATTACATGTAAATTGCACCGGTAGGTTTTTTTTACCTGGGAAAATAACGTAATGTTCGTTGATTTCAAGTTATAGATTTTGAAAAAGCAATACACAAAGCATGCGATTTAATCTGGCCAAGTGCGCAATTGCTGGGATGTAGGTTTCATGTAACACAAAGTTGGTAGAGAGCAATACAAAGATTTGGTTTAACGGAGGATTATAAAAAAAAATTGAAATAGGCGATTGGCTTAAAACTTGCTTTGAGTTAATATATTTAGACCCTGAAGGTGCTTCTAATTTTTTTGCTCTAGAACTAATGTCTATAAAACCTGAAAACCCGAAACTTGATCAATTCGCAGATTACATATTAGACACCCACATCAAAGAAGAAGCATTATTTTCACCAAATATATGGGCTCAATGTAGCGCTGAATTAAATTTAACTACTAATGCATGTGAGTAGTTTTTCATTCACATCTAGCTCAATCTTTTCAAAACACACATCCAAATATACACCACTTTTAAACAGCTCTATTAGAAATTCAAACATATACTTACATTAAATGAAACAGCATTAAAGAACCTTATAACCTCAAAAATTCTCAATCGAAAACACGACGACAATTTTTGAACACTATTATTTCGTCATTCAAAGAAAAAACATTACCATGACGCAATTCGTCAAAGCTGCATCTTATCATTATAAATCTATAATGATAATCTATCATTATAAATCGATTTTATATTATAAAATATAACGATACAAAAAAATGTTAATTTTATCAAATTTTTGTTTTTTTTATTTTTTTTTATGAACTATTTAAATTTAAAAAAATACCGATGGAGTTTACATTTTTATTCTAGGTAAAAAAATCCTACCGGTGTAGTTAACATGAAAAAGGTTTAAAAAGGTCGTAATCGGTGTAGTTTACATGCGCCTGGTAGGTAGGACCATAGCTTAGGTTGTTAGGACCCTGGTACACACATTTTAATAATAATAATTATAATAATAATAATTATTTATTTATTTACGGAAATAAATTCCAATTACAAAAATATTGCGTAATGACAGTTTGTGTTAAGTGTTAAGAGGACGTCGCAGGTAAAGTGTTACGTATGCAACTACCGAGAGATAGCGTTATTTTCCGTCTCGGTGCGGCGGCGGCGGTTTATAGTCACGCCCATACGAGTGCTGCGGCGCGCGCCGCACGTTGTAGTATTATCGGAACGGCACATTATTCTTTCACCGACTGTCGATCTAGTAAAAACTAATATAATGCTCGAAACGTATAAGCGATAAATTCGCTACTGCGCGCGTGTTACAATCTCGAGTATTAATAAATCTTTTTTATAGCTACTGTCCATTAATATTTATGTAGTAATAGGCAGAATAGGAAATACAATACCCATCATAGTTTGAATCATTCTGGTAACTTGATTACTTTTTTTTGTCGTGGCCTATAATTTTCTCATAAATCAGATTAAACGTATTGGTACCTCGTGTAGCGTACTTACTTATTATCATTTATATTTGAGCATACCTACGTATTTTGCATGTCTGTTACAGCAAAATACATGTGTCCAAATTTGCTTATAACTTATTTTGGCCATGGTTGTATTGGATGTTTTAGTTTTTTCTTTTTCCTGTTTTTTTTTAGTATTATAGGCCATCAAACAAAATTATTAAAAATCAGTATTTTATGCTTTCTGAAAAAGATAATTAATTTATAAATCCAAAATTAATAATTGAAAACATATTTATAATAATTCATCAATCGAATAATAATTGTATAATATTTGTATAGAGTATCTGTTATAAACTTATAACAGTTATAAAAGTGTTGGACATATATAATAATTTAAAAAAATTGTTTTTTCGCTTTTTTATTTTCTGCCTTTTTTGCAGGTTCTCTAATATCTGACACCATTAAACGGTGTTTATATACCGGGTCTACGATTTCCGTAAGTAGACAATTAAGGTAAAAACTAAAAAATAAAAAATTCTAATTTATTATAACCTATGTATATTGTAATTTGTACATACTACGTACATTATAATATTACTTACAATTTTAATTTTTCCACCATATTAGACATCCAAAAATCGTGGTCGTAATAAATTTCTCGGACTGATGTCCATTGTGGAGTATAAATCATAAAATAACATTTTTTTTTTTGTTACATGAAGTTGCCCCTGGACTTGGTAAAAATAATCATGCGTTTTTTTTAGTATTAGTTTACCACTATCAATTGTACAGTATTTTATCTACGGAATATTACACAACTATTACATTAATTTCTTTCCTATCATAATGACTATTATAATTAAGTTACTAACTTTACAACTCTCTACAGCTTCAAACATATTTAATGAATCTTTCGCTGCATACGGTGCTTTAATTTCGATAATAGAATTATCATCAATAATACCATCTAAATAAGGTTATTGAAAAATTAACGTTTCTATTAATTTGTAACGACTTAATTTTTTTAAATTTAATAAACGAGTCGACTAACCTAGACTTGCAGCAAGGTATAAATAAACCACAGGGTGTAACTGAGAGACCATACATACCTTCAAAAAAGTTTTTGACAGTATCTTCCATGTCTCTACCATACTGAACCGATCTATACATATATATATAAGTATAAACTTATATTAAATTATGTTTATTTAAAATATACAATTTATTAGAGTATAAAATAGAATAAATTGTATTTTTGCAACTTGTACTTGGGACGCATCTTACAAATCCGACCGAAATTGCTAGAAGTAAGTCTCGACAATCTTTCACATCTCCATGTATCACTAGCTGCTTGATCTCGAGTTTCGTTTTCTATCCTTACTCGATCAACATTACTTAGTGTTCTAAAATAATGAAATAAATCAAAATATCTTAACTGCAGTTAATAATGAATATAAAAATAATTGGATTGTAAATTACTTAATAAATATATCCATTTCATAAATTAATTCCTTGCTGTTGATACTTTTTATATTTTCTAACTCATCAACATTTCCATAATGCTCATCAGCTGTAGAACTTATCTTTGCCTTTTTCGATGGAATTTTCTTTTGAGTTTTTCTCCTCTTTTGGCATAAATTTCGTTTTTCTAAAATTCGACGCAAATACGTTTTTCCAACATTTCCTAATACATAAACATAGAAAGGCATCGATAGGTGCAAAATTAAAAGTTGAAAATTGTTTTAATACTATCAATACCTGGACTAGTTTGTGTCACATGTTTTTTAATTGTCCTTAGGTATTCTTTAGAGTTGAAAGTTACTACTGCTGCATGAACTCTAGTGGAATAAGAACTCTTTTGTGAAAAGTTAATACGCTTACCACCCAAAAATT